GTATACAAACATTTTTTTCTATGGCATGGATTTTTCCAAAAAGCTATGGCAATTTTTTTACGTTTTCATGGATTTTTTAAAACATGTGAAACATTCTAAAATGCTATGAACTGTTTTGAATGGCATAACTTTTTCGCAAAAAATGGGTGAACAATTTTTTACATTACATGAACATTTTTTAGAAATATTATGAATATATTGTTAGACATATGAACACTTTATTGAATGATACAAACCTTTTCAAAAATCAGTAAACAATTTTTTATATTTTATTAACATTTTGTCTAAAATTTCATAAACACATTTAAATGTGTGATTGAGGTATGAGCATTTTTGAAATGTCATGAAGTTTAAACTTTCATGAACATTTATTTCCACGGAACGCATCGGCTTTCTTCTAGAGATGCGTTGGTCTCTCAAATAACAAAAAACTTTCACGCATGCCACCCGGCAGTCCATTAAGCTAAGCTAGAATCATAACAAATCAAATGACGCAAAGAACAAATCAACCACATACGAAAAGCTTAGGTTTGAGCTGGCTGGTTTCCTACCGCTTGTCTACAACACAATCACCAATGAGCTGGCCCAGAAATCCATTTGTTCTGTGTACGCTCAGCTCTCTCCTATGTTGTTTTTTTCCTACCGCTCAAAATGTTGTTTTTTTCCTAGTGCTATTGTACTTTGCTACATTTCACCCCCCCCCCCCTAAAAAGAGAATTTGTTATCATTCTTTCAATTTTTTTGTAAATTCCAAAATATTATAAATACCTATATTCCAAAAAACTTATTTCACTAGAAAAAAATTGCAAACCATGAATTTGATTTTTTAAACTCTGTGTAGAAATATAGCTTAATAAACATAATGCTGATCAGAGTCAATAAAATATTTGTGACTCTTAAAAAGTGCGCACGTGTTTCAATTTTTTTGTCAATTTATTAAAATATTGATACAATAAAAAAATTAAAACATATATTTTGTAGCATTCAGAAAAATGCATGTTAGGTTTAAAAAAATCACACATATAAAAAATATGTCTATTTTAAAAATGTTTCATCATGCATTCGAAAAATGGTTTGACACATTAAAAAATTAGAAACATTTATTTGAAAATAATAATTATCATGTATTTGAAAAAATACGAAAACTATATAAATAAAATAGATATATACCAAAAGTATACGATGCATTTGAAAAACAATAGACATCAAAACATGTATTTCAAATAATGTGCATCACTTATTTATTTCTAAAGTAGACATCAAAACATATATTTGGAAATATGTTATTGTCTATTTGAAAAATATTACATATGTATAAACTGTACAATGTGTATGGAAAATGCGGACATGTATTGAAATAAAAAAAAACTGATAAACTAGAAATCCAAGGAGTACCGGTGAAGAAACAGAGAAAATCGAAACCCAAAAGAAAATTGCTGTCAACCGACACAGAAAACCAAATAAAAATAAAATTAAAAATAAATATTTAAAAAAATGATGAAAACCATAAATGAAAGCACGGCAAAAGAAAGAAAAAGGAAAAAAATAGTAAAAGCCAAGCCAGTCGGTCTGACAAAAACACCATACAATGCCCGAGCGGGCATTCGCTACAGCAACCCATGTGAGCGAACGCGCTAACTAGAAACCCTAATTGCTAGGCCGACCCATACGCACGGACCAGTCGGTTTAGCAACCACAGTATTTGAGATGGATGACTACAATTGCGCGAGATTAGTTAATCACATGATGATTAGTACTCTCTCTATAAAAATAAATAAGAGCCCCACCCACACTCTTATATTCTTTTACGGAGGGAGTAATTCAGACTGCATCAAACATTTCTTCCCAAACTTTACCGAAAAAGGCTTTCGCCCCGCTTTATATATAAAGCAAACCACCATAGCCATACAGTACCACAAGGTTAACCCACACACACACAGAGTAGCACAACACGAAGTACAAGGGGTTCTGCTGAGGGCACATCTCAACAAGCCCTGGAAATAAACAAAGGGGAGCGGTACAACCGCAACGTTCGACATAGCATCAAAGGATCTAATCCGGCTCGGGGGGTGGCGGGGGGAGCGACGGAGCAAAGCGGAGAGCCATCAAGCGAAGGTCGGTGATGATGGAGGTGATGGCGTCGCGATCCTGGTGACGGCTAAGCGGCCGCCAAAACTGCAAGAAGCCATACAATTTGAACACAGCGTCAGTAGCACGTTGAAGGGGGACCCGTTGAATGATAAGCTTATTTCGAACGGTTCACAACGTCCAGGCGAGCACCCCAACGAGCAGCCACCTAATGTGGCGGCTGGAGAAGGGGGAGGACTGAACCTCAAAGAGGAGATCAGGGAAGTTGGTATGACACCAATGGCCACCGATGACCTCTCGGAGGCAGCCCCAAAGAAACTGGGCGGACACGCACCAGAAGAAGATGTGATTCGAGGTTTCCGCCGTCCCGCATAGGGGGCAGATACCATCACCGGGACCCTGGCGCCTCAGGACCTCCACGCCCGAGGGGAGCCGGCCACGGATCCATTGCCACATGAAGATTCTAATCTTGAGGGGGACGCGTATAGACCATATGGAGTCGAGGACGCTTGGTCCGGGAGCATGCGCAATGGCGCAGTAAAGAGACTTCGTGGAAAAGCGGCCCGAGGGCTCGAGGCGCCAAGATAGGCGGTCGTCAAGGTGCTGCGATAAGTCAGGCTCATGGAGGGCCACCGTGTCAAGGAGCTCATGCCAAGCGGCAACCTTCGGCGGCCCAAATGGCCGCTGGAACGTGAGACGCCCTAAGTCAATAAGGGCCGACTCGACGGAGATCCTGGGTTCGACCGCTATGGAGAATAGGTCAGGGAACCGGGCCGCGAAAGGGAGATCCCCTGCCCATCGATCAAACCAAAAGAGCGTGGCCGAACCGGTGCCAACGACGATGGATGTCCCAATGCGCGGGACTAGGAGGAGCTGAACAACAGACTGCCAAAACTGAGAGCCACCCGACCTGACGCAGAAAGCGAGGGGCTAGTCGCGCAGGTACTTGCGACGGATGATTTGCAGCCACAAGCCACCATCGCCGTTAGCAATGCGCCAAAGCCAGCGAGTGATGAGGGCCAGGTTCATGCGTTTGGAGGACATGATACCGAGACCGCCCTGGTCACGGGGCTTGCAGATGTCCGGCCAGCGGACCATGTGGTATTTCTGCTTCCCGTCCTCGCCAGCCCAGAAGAACCTAGTTTGGATCGATCCAATCTCGTGGTGGAGCGTTTCGGAGAGGCTATAGAAGCTCATGATGAATAGGAGGAGACTGGAGAGGGACGAGTTGATGAGGACCATGCGAGCCGCCTTAGAGAGCCACCTGCCCTGCCAAGGCTCAATACGGTGTTGCAGCTTGAGGACCGAGGGACGGAGGTCGGCCACAGTAAGGCGCGAGTCATTAATGGGGATCCCCAGATAAGAAGTGGGGAAAGTCCCAAGCCGGCAGTTCAGGCAGTTAGCAATACTCATGCTCTCAAAGGGGGAGTAGCCCAAGACCATCACCTCGCTTTTAGCGAAGTTAATTTTGAGGCCCGACAGATGTTGAAAGCAGAGCAGGAGAAATTTGATGTGCGCGATCTCAGCCTCTGATCCCTGCAACATAATGATGGTGTCATCGGCATATTGAAGGAGGGAGACGCCCCCTCCGTCCACAAGGTGCGGGGTGATGCCGCTGATGTGGCCGGCAGCCTTGGCTTTATCCAGGATAGAAGCCAAGGGATCAACCACCATGTTGAACAGGAATGGAGACAAGGGGTCACCCTGTCTAACCCCACAGAAGGTGGGGAAGTATGGGCCGATCTCTCCATTAATGTTGACCGCGGTGTGGCCGGATGACACCAACTGCATAACCCGGCAGACCCAACGATCATCGAAACCTTTCCGAAGCAATACTTCCCGAGGGAAGGACCAGCTAACCGTGTCGTATGCCTTATAGCGCCCCTGAATGAAGGCGAACTGATTCGGGTGGGTGATGCGGTCAGCCAAAGGGGCCACCCTATTGACGTACCCCTTTGCGAGGATGCGGAAGATCACATTGATCACCGTAATGTGCCGGAACTGGCGAATGTCGGCGGCACCCGGGACCTTGGGGATCAAGGTAATAATCCCGTAATTAAGTCGGTGGAGGTCAATGTCGCCTACATAGAATTCCTCAAAGAGGGCCATGATCTCCGGCTTGATAGTGTGCCAAAAGGTCTGAAAGAACTTAACTGGCAAGCTATCAGGCCCCGGGGCGGATGTCGAGTTCATGCCTTTAATCGCAAGCTAAACTTCCTCCTCCGAGAACGGAGCCGTGAGGGCCGCATTCTCCGCTTCCAACACGCATTGATCGTCCACCCAGAAGGTAGGCGCAAGAGCCAAGCCCCATGCAGGGAGCCGTAAAAAGGGCTTTATAAAAGCCGTCAACATGAGCGCGGAGTTCGGCCACGTGCTGCAGGCGCGGAGTTCTTCCCAAACTTTCACAGCCACAATCCTCGGCATACTCGAAAGAAGAAGAAAAACGGCACAGTCCTTGGCGAAATTGAAATCCCAACCACATTATTTCCAACACTTTAGTCCTCGCTGCAAAATCAGCTGGCCCGGCCGCCCGGCACTGTGCAAATTGAAATCCCAACCATATTTTTCACTGCCTTTATTTGGAATGCGTACACTTATTAGCTGGCCCGGCCAGATTCCAATTCCCGTCATGTGGCAAAATTTCCGTATTGTACTATACACGGTAGGGTGGGCCCCGCTGCGCTTATTACGCGACCCAGCTGTGCCGCTCAAGAAAGTTCCGTCCGTCCCCGCCTCAGTTACTCCCCCCGAGACTCCGAGAGCCAACTAGCCGTTGGGCCGGGGCGACCGTTGGCCGCAGGCGTAGTACCAGTCGTCCGTCCGTCTCTGCTCTCTACAAACCCACGCCTGCTCCTCATCATCAGCCCCCTCGCCCACCGCCCAGGCCAGGCAGCAACCGCCGCACGACGACCATGGTCGCCAGGAGCCCCAACGCCAAGCCGGACCGCCAGACGGCGGCCGCCGTCGCCGCCGCCGCCGCGCTCAACCCCGCCCTCGTCAGGGAGACCCTCAAGAAGGTAAGGAGCAAACAGGATCTTGTTTCGGTCAAGTTTTGGGGAGAGGTTGTGGCACGGGTCTTGATGGATTTGATGGGTTTGGTTGGGGGTGCGCGCGCAGATGGACAGGTGCATGGCCCGGCTGCAGGAGCTGCAGTACACGGTGGCCGGCGGCGCCAAAGTCGTCTCCGGGGTCAGCCTCAGCCCGCGCAGCACGCGCGGCTACCTCCGCACCAGCATCCGCTGCAAGCAGGAGACCGTCAGGCAAGTCCCCCTCTCTGTCCACTCTGCCGCCCGGCCCGAACCGGGGTGGTTCGATCTCTGCCTTCGCTGACGTTGCGGCGCGCGGATTGATGTCTTGGCAGGATGAGGGGCACGCCGGCGCGGAGCGGATCCCCCAAGGGCAAGTTCGGCGGCGGCGAGGGCGCGGCCCAGTGGCGCCGGATGTCGCTGCCGGCGATGCTCCTCGGCGAGACCGTGCTGGAGATCGTCCAGGCCAGCCAGTTCGCCCGGGACATCGTGGCGGTCGCCGATCCGCCCAAGACCCCGATGCCCGTCTCCAGGACCAGGAAGGCCACCGCGGAGCAGACGCCGCTCCGGGCCCGCCGCGCCAAGGAGAAGCAGAGCCAGCGCGGCACGGCGGGGGCCGAGGCCGGCACGCCGCCGTCGCGCGCGCGCGTCCGGTCCCGGATACAGTTCAAGCCCACCTCGCCCCTCGGCCGCCCGTCGCTGTCGGCGGCGAACAGGGTGTCCCCCAAGAACCGGCCGTGCGGCAAGAAGACGGTGATGTTCCCCAACCCCACATTCGTCGCTCCCGCCTCCTCGGCCGCGTACGCGTCGCCGTCGGCCACAAAGAAGCAGAAGCGGTCGAACAAGGCTAGGTCCCCTGTCAAGGCCGCGCAGACGCCGCACAAGTTCCTGGTCAAGACGCCGCCGAGCGCCCTTGGGTCCAAGCTGAAAAGCCATGGCAAATTGCTGCCCAATTCACGACCCGTCGCCGTGTCGCCGCCAGGGAAAGCACAGGCGGCGTCCGGGAAAGCCCGGCGGTGCTCATTCTCGCCGTCCAAGTTGGCCACAAGGCTCGTTTCACCGATAAAGGCGAGGCTATCCTTCATCTCGCCAATGAAATCGAGGACGTCGTCGCTGAGGTGCCGCGACGGCGGCGTCGGCGTGGGCGGCAGCATGATGAGTGGACTCAAGCAGCGACCCGTCGTCAACTTGACGGCGCGGACTGTCAGGATATCATCTTGATGTGAGGCGATCAATTCAATCGTGGTGATCTTCAGCGCCTTGCGGACATGAGCTCTGCTATACTAAAAAAGTGCGTGCCACAAAGAGAAACTCTGAAACTGTACATGGGTTAGTGGTCTATATATGGATCCGTTACATTTCGTTGGATCGTGGGAGTACTTGATCTTGTCTGGATGGTAGTTTTAATCTGGATCTTGTTGGTTTGATCAACCAAACAGTAGCTGTAAGTTCCTGGATAAATAACACATTTTCAAGAATTTCTACTCGGTGGCCTGATGTTTCCTGAGTTGGGCAGCAATTCGTTCATTTCTAGCCAGATTCGCCGTGTGCGGCTACCTTAGGAATTGGGAATCAGGGGCATCTGTGCGTGAGCTGTCCTGCTCGTTTCGTGCTCTAGCTCGCGGGCGGGTCTCCGGCTTGATCCGTCCTACGGTTGCTGAGGGCCGTGGTGATGATCCCCGGCTGTGGGATTCAGCAACTCATTAGGTTTATCCCCCGATTTTATTACTGCTCGTTCACTGCCCTAGATGGGACTTTTTTTAGTTCAAATTTCGTCACGAACGAGTGGTTGGATTTTGCATTGTTGGCCCTCGGTAGCTTTGTCGAGACGGTCCAAAGTTTGATCTGAGCATCGATTCCTGGATTGTATACTGCAAAGATGGCCACAGGGTAAAAATGCTTGCTTATAGTAGACACTTGACAGATAGTTTGTGGTAAAAGTTGATCCTGTACCCCTATATATAGTAGACACTTGAGATAGACTAGGATATATGTTCTGCCTTGTCTTGTACTCGAAGTTGATCCGGTACTCTTATATATACGTCCACGAGGCTCAAGCAATAAATCAATGATCCCACCAGTCCTTTATGTCGCTTCTAACAGTAACGGGTCGCATTTTATCAATCGGCGAAGCTAAGTGGGGGGTATTTGCTCAATTGCGGAGAAAGAAGGGCATTTTGGCCAGGGCAGCATGGGACATTTTTGTCAACTATTAGTCTTGAAGTTTTGGTGAGAGAAGGGAGTACAGACGTGCAGGGAGTGGTTCATGGCGGCCGTGGCGCGCGGCCAACGGAGAAGGGGTCGTGCTCCCCGGGCTGCCCCCGCCGCTGCGGCTGAAGACGACGGGGAGGAGCAGCACCTCAACCCCTTCCTCTCGGACGCAGCACCCTCTTCCTCAAGAGTCCAGTTCAGGTGTGTGCTATCTTGTGGTTGATCTGTTTGTGCTGCTGGTGCGCTTCTGGATCGTTCATCGGGTTGTATATGTTGTGGTGTAGGAGCATCGCGTCGCGGGCGCGGTGGGTGGAGGAGGCTGGTGCGGGGCAGAGGTGTTGGACAACAAGGAGAAGCTCTGGCCTTGGAGCTGAGCACGAGCTTCGAGAGGTCGTGAAAAGATGCGGGGCCTTGGAGCAGAGTCTAACGGAGAAAGAATCTGAACTTGCCAAGGCTCATCAGGCCGCATGCGATGCCCAGGGGGAAACCCAAGGTGCCGTGCAGGAGATCCAAGAGGCGAGGAAGATCGCGGCGGGTAAGGCTTGTTCCATGTAAGTCAAGTATTTGGGGAGAGAATCATGTTTCTTAATCTTGAGTTTGGATTTCTCCAGCGGTATTTGCGGAGCTGCCACGCAGCATATCTGATGCCGCACAATTCTACCGAGCCGAAGAAAGGAACACTGCGGATAAGCTCTTCTGGTCACAGTATCTGGCACCAAATTATCCGGTGCCTTTTGTCGATCAACTGAAACAGCTGATAGAACTGCAGAAGGCGGCCGAGCTAGCCATGAAGGATTTGATTATCCGGCTATGGCCCGCTGAGCCGATTCCAGGCAGCTACTTCGGGCTTGTGAAGCGGCTTGCGAGTGCCTGCCCTCGACTGGACGTCGTCAAGCGGTCGGTCTGTATAGAGGGTGCGTGAATGGCCTTCGCCCGCGCAAAGGTGCACTGGGGGAAGATGGATGCTGAAAAGCTGGTGACCGAGGGACCGCCGGAGGGAAAGGAGCACCACAAGCCTGAGTTATATTATGAAAGTGTCCTGAGAGGATCCTGCCTTGCGGCGGAGCAATGCACCAAGGACATTATATTTCCATGAATACAATCATATTGTCCTTTGTAATGTTGAACAAGGTCATTTTTATTATTTATTGCCTGTTATATGAAAGTTTATCCTCCTGCGCGGCCATTTTATATGTTAGTGCTGAGAGTTGGCCAGTCGTCGGCTTCTGCCCCCATGTAGGAAGTACGGGTGTTCGGGATAAATCTGATCACTCTTTATCCTAGTTTTGGGTCCTTCGAAGGAGGTGTTCAGCACAACGAACCAGGCAATCAGATTATAGGGCTTTATCACTCTCACTTAGCCATAGGAGCTTTAGAAAAGGAAGGTAGGCGCAGTCCCTGGTGTTCGGAAGACCGCATGAGGGGCTCTATAAGCACCTGATCGGATGAAAAGCCGATCCATCGCATGCTGCATTGGTTATGGCATTATGCGGGATAAATCCTTAAAGATTTTACAACCTCTCGAACAGCTGGCCAGCTCTCGCCGTATCATGACAGTCAGTTTCCGGTTTTCTCTACTGAGGTGCTCGTCCGGAAGAACCGGGACACAATCGCAGTAGTTCTCCCTGTGCCGCCTTAGCCGATATAGCAGAACGTAAGGCAGCAAAACATGGGAGCCGGGCAAACCCAACATTTGACCCAAGACATGATTCGGAGCTAATGCATATAATGCTATAAGTTCGGGGTGCCGAACTACCATGAAGGTGTTCGGACTTTATTGCCGTATTATGGATAAAACGAAGCCCCTGGCATATTTAAGGCATATCGCGGTGTACGGATGCCATTTTGACAAAAGAATTTCAATAAGAGATAATGACAGATAAGCGTCATATAAATCCACATGTTGTATTTGCATAATACGTCGATGCGTATGAGTACATGTAAAGTAATAAAAAGAGAAAGTGACTGCGGAACGTACTGAGACCAGGCGGGAAGAAGCTGTGTGCGGATCCGGAGTGCAGTTGGATGGTCATCGAGGGGAATATCTAAGGGTTCCCTTGCGTGTTCGAGCTGCTTCCATATCGCCGGTCCTTGCCTGGGTAAAAATGAACCTATACAGAAAATGCAAGATATGTTTGTGTGTCGCAGAGCGGTTGAGCCGCGGTATGTGGCCTGTCCCGGCCTTCGCTGGAGTGTTTAATTGAGCTCTGGATGAGCCGGGCTATCCTGCCGCGAAGTAGTTCGGAGTCCTTTGGCGGTGTCCAGGAGCTTGGCTGTCGACTCGAGGTTCAATTGAAAGGTGCCACTCGTTGCCTCTGCTGTTAAAGCAGCGGTATACTCTTTGGTACCGAGGGGGAGTTCGGCCTTGCCATTAACCGTGATGACGCCGCGCGTACCGGGTATCTTGAGCTTACGGTAGGCATAATGTGGCACCATGTTGAATCAAGCGAATGCGGTTCGTCCGAGCAGTGCCTGATAATCACTGCGAAAGGGGACGATGTCGAAGATTAACTCTTCGGCACGGTAATTGTCCGGTGATCCGAAGACTACCTCAAGGGCGATGGAGCCTGTACAGCTGGCCTCCACCCCTGGTATAATACCTCTAAAGGTGGCTTTAGTGGGCTTGATCACCGAATGATCGATGCCCATCTTGCGCACTATGTCCTGGTAAAGCGGGTTTAGAATGTTGCCTCCGTCCATAAAGACTCGTGTGAGGTGGAACCCGTCAATTATTGGGTCGAGGACTAGTGCGGCTGAATTGCCCTGATTGGTGTTGACCGAACGATCCGTGTGGTTGAAGGTGATCGGCCCTAGTTTATATTTTGGGACGACTGGTTCCGTTAAGTCGACATCCGTACGGGTGCGCATCCGGTCCGGGTTGGGAGTGTGGGTGGCGTTTACCATGTTCACCATTTGGATTTGCGGGGGAAATTTCTTTTACCCTACTGTATTCGGTGATCTGGGCTCCTCGTCGCTATCATCGCTTTGGGACCCCTTCTCTTTGTTTTCGGCACCTGACATGCCGGCTTGTTTGAAGACCTAGCATTCTCTGTTGGTATGATTGGCTGGTGTTCCTGGGGTGCCATGAATTTGGCATGGACGGTCGAGTATGCGGTCCAGACTGGACGGGCCCGAATTGTCATTTTTGAATGGCCTTTTCCGTTGACCGGACTTAGAGCCACTAAATCCGGCATTGACTGCCGTATCTTCGGTGTTTCCACCATTTTTGTGATGCTTGTGTTTGTTGCGTCGGGTTTTGCCGTTGCTATCTCTGGCCTCTGATGTGCCAGGATTGCTTGATGTGTTGTTGCTATGGGCCAACCAGCTATCCTCGCCCGCGCAAAAGCGGGTCATGAGTGTCGTGAGGGCCGCCATGGATTTTGGCTTCTCTTGGCCGAGATGTCGGGCGAGCCACTCGTCACGTATGTTATGTTTAAAGGCCGCTAGTGCTTCGGCATCCGGACAGTCGACAATTTAGTTCTTTATTACTTAGGAACCGAGTCCAGAATTTCCTGGCTGACTCTCTGGGCTGTTGTGTTATGTGACTTAAATCATCAGCATCCGGTGGTCGCACATAAGTGCCCTGGAAGTTGTCCAGGAATGCGTCTGCCAGGTTCTCCCAACTTTCGATGGAGTTTGCCGGTAAGCTATTCAGCCAATGCCGAGCCGGCCCTTTGAGTTTTAGTGGGAGATACCTGATGGCGTGTAAATCATCCCCGCGGGCCATGTGAATATGGAGAAAGAAATCCTCTATCCATCCCGCGGGATCTGTAGTACCATCATATGATTCAATGTTCACGGGTTTAAACCCTTCTGGGAATTCATGATCCATTACCTCATCAGTGAAGCATAGGGGGTGTGCGGCGCCTCTGTGCCGGGCTATATCACGATGCAGTTTGTACGAGTCTTGTCCGCTGTATTTGACCCGGCCGGATTTGCTTTTAGTATATCCGGCATGACGGTCGTTGTCACGCGTTGGGGCGCGCCCCCGTGATCCGTAGATCGATCTT